TAGCTAAGAATCGTTCCACATTGAAGGGGTCTTCCACGATCAGGCACAAAACCAATGCACCCGGGTTAGCCACGCCATCTCTGACGGGTCTCTCTATAAAACCGGTGACGACGTCATCACACAAAACCAACCCGTGGGAGAGTCAGAAAAAAAACGAAAAAAATTGACAACACATAGAAATGTTTGTCCGTGCGCCACGGGTCGATGTCGCCCGCATGCTCCGGTGCCGCTGCTCCGTCCGGCGCCGCTGTAGTCAGCCCGAGCATAACGCCACTCGACCTGCTCCGTCCGTACACGCTCTCGTTGCTGTCCTTCCCAGTCGGTTCCTCGCTTTCTCCCTCGTTGCACTCAAGGTTCTTGGTCTGAAAAATAAAAATTCTCGCGCCGAAGGGGTCAACCAGCCCAGTTCAGCTCGTCGCCACCTGCTCCCTCCTCCTTTGATGGCGAAGCCATGTTACTGAGGCAATACGGCTCCCTCTAGCAAACCTAGGGCCGTGTAGTGCCCGTCCACATTTCTGATGGTGTCTGCCTCCGCGCACAAAAATGAAATGGGCATCACTGCCAACGCCGACGGCCAGAAAGGCCCGCGCATCTACATTTTCCCGCCTGACCCCATCAGTGCCGACCCAACTCCACCACCACGCGCACGCCTCGCGGTATATGCGCAGCAGCAAGAAGGTTTCGGTCATCCCTTGAGGGTGGGTCTAGCCCTGCTCGCCAGAAAGACGCCCCCCTTCACTACAACCCATGTCTCAGCAAAAGCTTGTCGAGGAGCGAGGGGAAGAAGGGAGAGTAGTAGTATTATACTCCGAGTATAAATGTTAATAGTACAAGAACAAACGATGATGCAGGCCGTTTGCTCGTTCGTGTCCGCCAGTGGTTTTTACGACAGCAATCACTTTCCCAGCATCATTGGAAGTATTACCTGTTCAAGTCTTCTCTACTTAGGCCGAGTCTTACGTCGTGATTATTTCGGGATTTTTATTGGGGGGGGGGTCCTTTTCTCAGCCCAAATAATTATTTGAGCGTCTTACTACCTGTTTTTTTTGTCAGTTGTGTGCGCTATCCGCTGTAATACAGTATGCAGTACCCGTTCTCCCTCTGCGTGCGTGCGTGTCTCGGTCCCTCCTTCGGCGCCTATCTGTGTTGACTGCGGTGTACGTGCCCGTCCGTACATACATTGCTACACACCCTCTTTTCCCGACCCAGGACGCCACACACCCTATTTTCCCTTCGTCTCTTCAGCGGGGAAGACTTATCAGGATTGTAGCTACGCGTAGGCGCCTTCATAGTTGACGGTGGTGGGCTGTAGTGGTGGCGGTGCCGGAAAACGTCGACAAATATATATAAAAAAAATCCTGGCATAACGACTGACTGTGATATCTTGCGTGCTCCGTACGACCCGCATCCCCCCATTTCTTTTTTTGCAATCCTCGCAGCCCCTTCTCGTTTCCTGCCGCTCCGCTGCCGCGCCGCTGCTGTTTCACCCCTACTCCACACTGGCATCAATTGGACGAAAGAGGAGCAAGAGAGAGGGCCACGGTGTGTACGGGTGTTTGCGAGGGGGCGCTCCAGTCCCGCACGGCGAACAACAGGTCGGTGAACAAAGTTAGACGCGTCGAGAGGTGATTGGTTATTGTAATCTACATCGCGTCTCGATGCTGAGCTGCTACGTAACGGGCTTGTTGAATCCTGTTAGCTGCTGCCTGAACTGTGAGAACGCCGCCAGAGCGCATCAGAGCAGAGTATGCCCCGACGTAGCCAGACTGAGGGCATGCATACTGGGCCTCCACGATACCTACTACACCGTTCCTATGCATACACCTTACCGTAGGAGCAAAAGCCTTTTCCCTACAAAGATAGAACGTGGAGCGCCGATCGGCAGCGAAGTGCTTCGTGTTCGAACATGCCCACCCGGGGCTGGGTACCCCACGCGCCCACCCTGCTGCTGCTGATGCTGCAACTTGCTAGAACATGATCTTCATGAGGTGGTGGTCATGCGTGTGTGCGTGCGTTCCTCACACGCAACAGAGAGATGGGCCGCGTGACCGGTGGCACACAGGCCACGGGCGTTCGTTGTCAACCTGACACGACTCAGTCAATGTGTAACATGTCCTTCTGTTAGACAAAGAATTCAAGTTCGAAAAATTCGTTGTGTACAACTACCTGGTACTATGATGTGCTCTGCTTGTACAAGCAGTACAGCAGTTCCGTCGCTGGCAGACGGAGACCCTTGGCCGTCTTCTGAATGAACCACCCTCTTTGCGGAGGATTGCCAAGGCTGTTCTGACAAGGAACCGAAACTCGGAAGCGTTTCCGAGCCGCCCAACCCTCACGCCTACAAAAGACCAAGCCTACTCTCCCTTCTTCCCCTCGCTCCTCGACAAGCTTTTGCTTAGACATGGGTTGTAGCGAAGGGGGGGGTCTTTCTGGCGAGCAGGGCTAGACTCACTCTCAAGGGATGACCGAAACCTTCTTGCTGCTGCGCATCCGCCGCGAGGCGTGCGTGTGGTGGTGGAGTTGGGTCGNTAAATGTTAAGTGGTGGTCATGCATGATGGAACCTCCGTGGTGTACAATGTAGACTAGAGCGGAAAGAACAGCAGCGACCTCGCCTGCGAGGCGATCCTGGTCGTGCAGCTTCTCATCAGATTACATGTGGTAGCTAAGTACTCAGTATTACACGACAATGAGGACGTCGTCTGGTAAATCGTCTAAGATACCGCACCTCCCCTGCATTTCCCGAACCCGGTTATTTTCCCGAGTCCTCTCTTGACGAGTGCTCCTGATGTAAGCCGATGTTCCACGACGATGTCGTCCTCTGGGTGGTCGTCTAGGATTCATGACGACGCTGATTCCGCTGCCCACCGTGCGTGTGTCCTACTGCTGCTGTATGTTTTACATGTTGTGGACTATGTACACATACATTTTGCCGTGAGACCTTTGATACAATTTTTTTTTTTGTTCCACTCGGTTCCACTGCCCACCAATGTTGCGTTTCGTGCACGTACGAACGTGTTTTTTTACAAACTCGCCGCCGCACGTCCTCGCACGTAGCATCCTGATGACTGTGATGCATGATGATCACGGATTGCAGACCTCCTCATCGGCGTTAAGTACGCACGAAACACCCTCATGCTTCGCCTGGGTGAGTGTCGTACAGCGTACTTCGTTTACAGGTGCTCTGTATGACCCGGCAGCGATGTACGTTAGTTTCGTAGTCAACAGCAGTGCTGGGGTCGATGAGTACGAACATCGTTTGTGTCCGATTTTTTCACCGTATCCCATCAAAGTGGCATGTTCGTCGCCTTCGACTTGATTTTGGAACGAAACGACGGGAGTTGAGCCCGAACGAGGAGGCGTGACAAGGGCGGAGCCGAATCATAGCTTGCACGTGGTTCGACCCCACCACACAGGACCACAGGTTTTGATTGACCGCAGGACCCAGTTTTCATTGAAACTGGGAATCATTCTTGTTTAGTGTCGATATTTTTCACTGCAGTGCCTAACACAGACGATCGGGAGAGATTCGGGTGATTGTCAATTGCTGCTATGATGGCTTTGGTTGGTTGTTCTTTTTCACTGTACGGCCGCAGACACATTCTGACAGCACTTCAGACAGCAGCTTTGTGCCCCGCCAGCTGCTTGTTCCATGCCTACCATGGTGTTTTTGTACAGACAGCACTTCAGACAGCAGTGTGCTGTAGTCGGTAATCTTCCGTTTTGTTATAGAGTGGGACAGGGAGGGGATGATGCTACTGCTGTAGTGGAACGGTAGGACGGACGTGCAGTTCAGTTTTTGGGCACGCATACGGTGCTGCAGGGATTTTTAGGTGTACCTCTTCGGGCTCTTGCATACCTTTTTCTCGTCAGATGTGTGCGTGTTCTTTAGATCCTCAGATGGCTCTAGCACTTTCGTGACCACGGGCTGAGAGTCTTTTGCTAGATTTTGGCATTTAGCAACTGACATACGGTTTAATGTGAAGACAAACAACAACAACAACAACCCCTAACAGCTGAAGCTAAACACACCAACGCATACAGCCCGGAATTTTTTCCTCATCTCTCACGCGGTTTATATATTGACATTTTACAACTGGATTCCTTTCCCAAAAAAACTTACTTTTCAGGATGGGCAAAAATCCGGCTAGAAAAAAGTCCGGCCGTGCTTACAGCAAGCCGGATTGAGCCTTGGTTACACTTTGATAGAAACTCTTTAGGACTAACCGATGTTCAATGTAGCAACGCTACAGGTTCTTCACGCGATCAAGGCTAGGTTGCTCACCGGAAAAAAAAAAAAAATGACAGAAACGGACGGTATTACCGGGCGGGTGTCGGTGACACAAAACGGTACACGAGGAAATTGACTCGGAGAAATTGGGCCCGAAATCTCACCCCCAAATTCGCCGCATTCATACCAAGGTAGAAATTGGCCTGTAGGTGGCTCACTCAGCGGTGTGCCGCAACGAGTCGGCTATCATTTTTCTGTCTCTCACGTGGCAAGAAAAGGAGATGTCCCGCTGAGGCCGTTGATTCGAAGGGACTACTTCGGCGTGGTAGATATGCATATGCATCCCGGCAGTAACCTACTTTTACATGCGTATCTAAAATTACTCTTTGTTGTATGAATATCATACAACATTCGTGTATGGATGCAATACCCACACTTTGCTCAATCCCCATCATTTCCGTTGAGGAAAAAACCAAGCAGCGATTCCAAGCCAAACATGGAGTGAAAGCTGCTGCCGATGGATGGACGGGCGCGCACAAGACACATGGTAGACTTGCAGCAAACAACACACCCCGGCGAGCCGCGAGATGCTGTGTGCGAGATGCTGTTTTTGTGGCGAGACACGTGCCCGTGTGGGTCGCTTCACGCAATAGGCAACAAAACGAGATACAATAGGGGCATAGTAGTCTTAGCATGTATACGCTACTGTTTGGCATCTACTGCTACATAATGTATTTCATAGCTCTCACCATTGTTCTGCGCACATCAACAGCAATTCAGCAGTACCGCACTAGTGGTTGGCCCTCAATAACGCCAGTTGAATAGCGCCGGTGTAGTCGCTGGCACAGCCTGAATCGCCGACGCCGTTCTGTAGTTTGAATAGCGCCGGCCCCTCTGAATAGCGCAGTTCGATTCGCCAGGCCCCCACCGGAAGGCCCACAACTCAAGCTGTATCTACATCCGATCTCACCTGTACGACATGGTGTGTGCTCTGCGCTCGTCGCGGTCGTGCGTGCCTACACGTGGAGCTACATATGGATATGCTAGGTGGCAACTCAACAACTTGCGATCTGCGCAACACTCCTACTGCTGTCGTGTTGTGTATACATGTACACATCTGCTTGGAGAAGTACCGCAAGAGTTGGACAGATAGCACCCCCCCTGGACCGGCTTTCAAGCTCGATTGCTCCACAGCCAAGGGCGTGCGTGCGGGAAGGAAGAACCTGATGCGTTGACGGAAAGCCTTCTTCGAGGAGATGCCTCGACAACCACCATGTTTTGGTGTTGGCACAAGCGTGGGTGCCATCTCGCCGCCTAGTGCGGTATTTGTGTTGGTATCGTTCGCTGTGCTCGACATTGGTGGATGAGAGCGATTGTATTCACCATCCCTCTCGAGTGTGATCAGGGGCGGGAAAGTCTGACATGATCTTATGACTAGTCTCCTCAAATCGAATGGCCTGAGCGGGCGTTCTTTCTTGCGACAGAAAAAAGGTGACAAGAATGACAGAAAATGTTGCACAAGCCGACTCGAGAGGTTGGGTTGCAGTACACAGCAGTTCACTGCTGGGTGAACCGCAAAACAGTCCGTCCATTGTGGGTTTGACCAAATCACCGTCGAGAGTTAGGGGTCAGTTCTTGACTGACTTTCCTTGTGGGCCGTGCTGTGTCACCGACATGGATGGGACCGTTTTCTGTCGCGTGGCCCTTTGAAGAAACGCGCAGCACACCCAGCGATGTGGTATTGTAGTACATGCGAGGAAGGCGCAACGGTGTTATGTGTGAACTAGAAGCGAACGGCAACCCGCAGCACACCAGCATGTGCCTTTCTGATAACAGCACCAAAAACCGAACAGCAGCCATGACTCGAGGCGCCGGAGGTCGAGTGCACCTCTGTCTCTGTGTCTCTTCCTCGACATTCGAAGACCACCTAGCAAACCTAGCACATCTTTAATCGTCAAGGTTGGGTTCAGAAGGCAGTGCATTGGGCCTCCGGCCCTCCAGCACAATTCTGTGGGATCGATCGTGCTCCGAGCGTGATGAATCGTATCTCGCATAAATACCTCGTACTGCTTTCCCAATGGCGAAAACATGTGCGGTGTGCCAGCCATTGGGTGTTTCCAGAGGGAAGAGGTCATGGTTGGTTCCAGTCCGGAATAGGAATGGTTTCTGAGCCGGAAACCAAAGAACCTGAATGATTTTATTGAAGGCGGTTTTTGGACCGCGGCCGATTTCTCTCAGCTCCCGAAAAGCTACGCGCACGAAATCGCGGCGGTGCCTGCGCGCGACCTACCCCTCGACGGCCCTGTCCGAGGAATTTCTATCGAAGCGACACCGGTGCCAAACGCAAGCATTGTGTCTTGCTTCTCCCCACACTAGCATCATTTTGACATCTTTTGTGGTGTCTCTGCTTCGCCGCGGCTGACTTCTCTGGGCTCAACAAAGCTACGACTACAAGGTTCACGCCCCCCCACTCCGCACACTCGAGCTCTCGCCAACGCACCGAGCGTTTTACCTCGCATCGCAGGCAAAGCACCGGAAGAGTGCCACAAAGCAGCTCTTCACAGCCGACGCTCGCCTGGAACCCAAGTCCACGCGTTTTTTTCCCACGACCTTCTCCCCAACCGAGCAAGATACAGCCTCATGCTGGCCGCGGGTTGATGTGCCAGGACAGGATGGGGATGCCCCGCAAGTCTAGGCAACGCTGGTGGCGAGCAGAGCGAGCACCCGATCACGCCTACAATCAGCGATGCAGCCAAATCTGGCTGCTGTTCCGCCGCCCAGCAGATGAAAGTTTTTTTTTTCCGTATTGGACAACTCCTCAGCCGGCTCCACTACGTCGACGAAACTATGACAGCCAACGATAACCCAGTCGACACAACCCTGTGCCAAGATTCAAAGCCGTCTGACGTGCACCCCGCACGACAGAAATTCGCCGTCCAGAAGCCGAGGTTGCCTCCCACCAAATATCAGACCCCAAAATCTTCACACACACGTATACCCTTGAGACAACTTACACGAATGTGGAGCTAGAACTACACTGCTGTGCTCGATTCTCGTGCCTTTGGTGCACCCCCCAGATCGAATCACGACGTACAAGCAAGGTTGTGCTAGGGGGAGACGCAACTTGTAACGCATGGACCCCGGGGGTGTATATTTCCCTTCACCCGCCCCCTCCAGCGGTTGCCTGCGTCAGCTTGCAGCATCATCTGCACACGTTCTTCACAAAACGCACCAACGGACCTTCAGGCATCATTTGGCTGCCAGTTGGCAAAGTAAGCAGCTCCCGAAAAGCAGCGTCGAAAGGGCTACCTGCGAACCCCTTCACATCGGACTGTTGACGCTTTTGCTTGTAGGCGACGAAATTACATGTAATGTTTCAACCTACATGTTAAGCAACTTTTTTTGTCTTTGCGCTTTTTCTCCGCGTGTGCAACTTGAGAGGCATCTCATATCTATCTCGCCAGCCTTCGACAAGCAACTATATTGCGAACAGCAGTCCTCCCTCCATTTGATTTGTACATGACAGTGTTGACCGTGCTTGATAAGTGTATCTGTGTGTGGCACACTCCTATTTCTGGTATGTGTCGCCTTATGTCACACAATTTACAATTTAACCTCAGGCACCGCATCCCCTCTCTGGATGACTGCTGTGCTGATGCTATGTGGACTGTCGGCGACCCTCCTTGCATTTGCGATACCCAACAGGACGACCCCGCAACAGAGTCGTTATAGTCCTTCTGCCCTGTGTACTGGAACAAATCGCTCAACCGATTCTTGTTGCTGCTGAACATGCAGCTCCGGCGCAGATGGATATGTATGTGAAAGAAGTTGTACGCAGATCCGCTGCTCCTAGTACTGCTACTAAATACTGTGCCGCGTATATGATGTACGAGAGGACCATGCTGCAGCCAAAAGACACGGTTACAAGAAAGGTACACGGCCTAAACGTTCCACCGAGGCCAACGCCCGCCCGTGCTAGCTTGGCCAAAGTATTTCAACAAACTGCTGCGGTGAACACAAATAAAGTGGAGTCATCACGAGATAGTTGACTCCAGACAAGCCTGTTCATCTGCAAATCGGGCGCGTGTCGTTGCTGCCGCAGCACGCCGAGATCTTCTCAGGCAAGCAACTCTCAAGCACAAGGCCAGGGACGGAGCCTCAGCGAGAGGTTAGAAATGTATTGTAGATCAGATGCAGAAATTGCACATCGGCAATAGCCCAGGCAAAATCCGCGCGCCGACTGTTCGCCCAAAGCAAGTCTTGTGCCGTTTGATTTGGAGAACACTTCGTTGTAACCAACCACCCACGTTGAAGGGAAACGGACCTCGGACCGGGGGCAGCCCTGCGTGAGCGGGACAAGTTATATCCTATGGTTGGGATCGGAAATGGAGTTCTGTGGAGGAAATGTACGGCGAACATGAGCCCATTTTCCGTCAGTTCAGGGTACCTTTCCGAAATCAGGGTGCAGTTCTGAGAGGAAGTAGCCGTGGGAGGGTACACCCCGGGCTATTTCGGACACGGCAGGGTGAAAGTGGACATGACCAGTCAGTTGGGCTCTTTTGACGCTGTCAAATATGCGTACAGTACATATAAGTATATTTTTTTTTCCTCCCATCATTGGACTCTGTCGTCTGCCCCTCTGGCCCCTATCCTCCACTTCTACCAGCTAGACGACCCAACCGGGGCCACATAGGAGGGGGGGGCTGGACCCCCTCCTGCGGTTCCTGCCTGAGGTATTTTTATCGCGAGAAGGGTACAGCAATCCCTTGCCTCGCGACTTACGAAGTCGATTATGGTTTACTAACAAACGAGCTTTGCAGCGCGTCGCTTTCATCCTTGACCAGGATTTATTTAGTGAGAAAAAATCTCACTCTGCCGGGACTCGAACCCATGACCTGGCCCTTAGCAGGCTGCGAGGCTACCCACTAGACCACCGGGGCGATATGTACCCAGCTGAGTCCCTTTCGACCAGCGTATACCCTGTTTTGTCGTTTGCCTCTGTCTAACGTTGCGTTTTGGCAAAGAAAACAATCTTGAAACACAATGCAGTTGCTTGCATTTTTTGCTATTGATACATTGCCGTAGGCAACCAGCCACCTCGTGGACGTGCCCGGGTTGGCAACTTGAATGTACGGTGCGACGTGCGTGCGACGGTACCCAAGGCGCAGTCTGCGTCACCCTCAAGCACAGCTCTTGCTTGGTATCTCCTTGGACAAATCCCCCCCCCAACCTTCGCTGCCGTGGCCGCCTCAATCAACATGACAGGCCGTGATGAAAAAAATCCGCCGCAGGATCAAGGGGATAATCAAACCATCCCCCTCCTCCCCTCAGCAGCAGCAGCAGAAGGAGAACGAAGGCATGTCTCTCTCGGAAAACCCAGAGGTCAGTCCTATGCCGCCGCTGCCGCCCGCAGCGCAGGGAGTGACAGCGGGTAGCGGCGACGTGGAGGGCGGCGGTAGCGCCGGGTGTGGCGGCGGGGGTGCAGACGGCGATGCTGAAAACGTTGGGGGTGACAGGGACCCCATGAAGACGGACTCGGCCGTGGCGAGCCAGGAGGAGAAGGAGGGAACGGAGAGCATGGACGTGTCGCCTCCGTTGCCCTCGAGCGCCAACAAGAAGAGAGTTCCCATCGTCAACAACCCGGATGGTGCGTTGCGCGTGCTTGTGTGTGTGTGTGTGTGTGTGCTTCAAAGTTAGCATCGACCGCGCTTACCGGCTGACCAATGAAAAGACAAGCGACCGTGTGTAGCGGGATAAGAAACACGAACACTTCCCAATCGAAGGCCGCCGGTGGTGTTTGTTGGGCGCACTGCTCTCGCGATCGTTGGCGTCTTGGCCCTCCCTCTCAAGGTTCTCTCACGCAGCAGTGAGCCTTCCGTGTGTTTGCACATGCGTGTGTGCTGATTGTACCGCCATCTTGATTGGTAGAGCATTCCGACCGCCACCTTCTTCGTTTTGGCGAGTGTGTCTTGCGTGCCCTGGCCTGCGACAGATAGCACGCTTTGCGCGCCGCTTCCAGGGCTTTCGGCACGCCGTTCGTGTGACTTCCCGAGCGTTGATTATTGCACTAGCTTCTTGTCTTGAGTGTTGTTTGTCGTGCCGTGTGCCGGGTTGTGACTGATTACCCTGACGTCACCGCTATCTACGATAACGGGCGGCGAGGGAGACTTGCCTCCTCTCGGCACACGATGCAGGCAGCAGCAAAAGCGGCCGCCCAAAAGCGTTTACTTAAAGTAGGACTTGACGGCCATTTGATGTTGCACCCTCTTTCCGTCTTTTGTGGCGTGCACCCTCTCGTGACGCGGCCCAAGAACGAAAGGAAGCCACGCCCGGCTACCCCCCCGTTGCGTATCGTCGGCAAGCACCCGTTCCGTTTCTCCGTGCAAGAACCGCATGCATATTTATAACAACATAATGCTGCGCATTCGTGCATACATTACTGCGCTTATACTCGCGTCGCTCGTTTGTCATCACCAGAGTTCGCCAGCTTCGGGCAGGGCGGGGACGCAGAGATTCCGTCCCCGGCCGTCCCCAAGTCCGACGAGGCGCGGGCGGCGCTGTCGAACGCCCTGAGGGAGCACTTCCTCTTCGCGCAGCTCGCGCCCACCGACCTCTCCGCGTGCGTGGACGTGATGGGGCTGCTGGAGGTGTCGGCGGGGCAGGACATCGTGGTGCAGGGGGAACGGGGATCGCGGTTCTTCGTCATGGAGTCTGGGTCTGCCGAGGTGTGTTGGGTTAGGTGTTTTCGTGATTAGCATCGCGCTAACCGGCTGACCGATCAAAATACGAACTGGGTCTCATCAAAGGGCAAGGGTTCTCCCGACAGGCGTGTGGGGTGCGTGTGTGTCGCTGCATGGCGTGGGGACGGAGACTTAATTCCCCGCTCTGTGTACACTCGCGAGTGAAGGCTTGAATGTGAGGTGAATGGTTTTGCGGGCGTTGCGGTTGATTGGTTGGGACAGCAGTGGGAGCCGGGGGTTGGTTGGTTGGTCTCCTGGTGACGTGGCAACGCAAATAAGGGAAACGATTGCCCCATCCCATCGACATCTTCTCCCTATTTCCCTTCCCTGTCACAAAACAATTTTTTGTGTGCTATGCACTCATGGACACACGCGCGTAGGCGTACGTCAACGGGGAGCGGGTGTGCGGGTACGGTCCCGGCGGCTCGTTCGGCGAGCTCGCCCTCATGTACAACTGCGAGAGAGCGGCGACAGTTAGGGCCACGTCGGACAGCCGGCTGTGGACGATGGACCTGTCCACCTTCCGCCGCACCCTGGCCACCACGGCGTCGAGCCAGATCTTGTCGCGGTGCGAGTTCTTGCGGAAGGTGCCATTCCTGGCGGAGCTTACCAACGAGCAGGTGGGTCCCGGGGGGGGGCGGGTTCTCGTGTTTTGCATGCCTGAGCGGTTAGACCATTCAGCTCTAGCCCTCTAGAGGACGGAACCCGGGGGGGTGGGGGGGGGTACTCACGTCTTTGCATGCCTTCCAGCGTCGTCGCACGTAGGCGCGCTTCGCAAAACGTTCGCAGTCGTCACTCGAGAGGTGACAGCAGCGACAATTCCGGACCGTGTCGGAAGGCAGAAGGGGGATAGACAAGTCCGCTTTGGTGTTGCAGCAAGTAGTATAGACGGTAGCTTAACGAGAGCGCACCAGGCCCGCATGGCGGTGGTAGTCCTCTCGCGTTGTAGCCGCGGATCCCCTGTCCCCCCGCCCATCACGCACGTTCTTGCCCCCATCTTGCTGGACCTCTGTCCTTCTGTGGGTATGGCTGGCTATGCGTGGTGTGGACGGCCGTAGTGTCTTGGTGTCGATCAAGGCAAAAACGAACCCGCGCTCGCACGGAACAGGGAAGAAGTGCTGTCTACTCGGTTGCTGTTGTGCGAGTGCTAGAATTGACGTGCCTCTATTTTGTCTCGTGTTCCGTGTATACACATGACGTGAAAGGGAGGTTATGTGCAAAGTGTGGTGTTACCCACGGACATTTCTCAAGTATTCAAGAGGTGTGCAGGTGCAGTAAAGTGTGGCGTTCCTCACGGAAGCTCCTCACGACTTTATTTTCGCTGCTGCTGCTGCTGCTGTTGCTGCTGTCTTCGCTCCTCCCTGCTATTGTTGTTCTCAGTTCCCTATTGTCTTTCCTCCTTTTCTGCTCGTTATTTTTCGTGGTTTTGTGGTGCCGGGGTCGGGGGGTGATGGGTTAGGTGAACAAGCTGGCGGACGCGCTGGAGGTGAAGGAGTTCCTCCAGGACGAGTACATCATCCGTCAAGGTGATCGCTGAATGGATGACGGCTTGTTCGAGCGGTTCGTGGTGATGATTCCATGACAACGGTTACTGTGTTCGGACGACCGGGTTTCAAGACGCCGCCTTAGTTCTCCTGACGAAGCCGCGTTACCATGATACTTAAAAGTGGACGAAATATACTAAAAAACCTCCGTGCGTGTCGTCGTCGGTGGACCAATATATACAAGATGGTCCGTCCGACCCTCTTTTGGCGGCAAGTAGGCGGCTATTTAGCCTGCGAGCGTATTTTTAGTTGTTGTACCATTGTACATAAAACAAACGCGCATCAACCTTTCGTTCGTTCCTTCGTTCCTTCGTTCGGTTCGTCTGGCAGGGCAACAAGGGGAAGACTTCTTCTTGATCGAGGAAGGGGTGGTGTCCTGCACTCAGGCCAAGAGTGCCACGGACCCGACGGAGATGTCGCTCCTCACGCTGGGGCCCGGGGAGTACTTCGGGGAGATGGCGCTCATGCTGGATGAGCCGAGGGCGGCCAACTGCATTGCCGTGCAGGGAAATGTGGGTCTTATTCTCTTCTCTCTCTCTCTCTTATTTTGTTTTTGTCTGCGGGGATGCGTTCCAGCTGTTGTGCAGGGGAGCACCGTGGGGTGTGTGTTTTCTTTCTCTGCGGTCTGTCATTTGTTGCTGCTTATTCTGCTGTTTTCTGTTGGTGCCGCTTGTGTGTTCTACATATTTTCGTGAGATGCCATGTGTTGTGTGCCGTTTGTCCGGTTAGATTGGTCGTTGTTTTCTGCGCGTCGCTCATCTCGCGTACGTGTCTTTTGTAGGGTGTGTTCATGGCTCATGATATTCCTCGTCGGTTATCTTCGAACAGGCACTTTTTCGGCACTTCGTTGCGACGCTTTCAAGTTTTTCTCGGTTTTCTCTTTTCTCAGTTCTCTCCCCCCCTCCCCCCCCCCACCTGTCTCTTTTGCTCCTTTCAGGTGAAGTGCCTTTCGCTGGACAGGACTAGGTTCTCGAACCTCCTGGGGCCGATCTACAGCATCCTGCAGCAGAACATGCGACTGCGTATCCTCAAGGGGGTGCCGCTGCTTTCCAAGCTCACTGACGACGAGCTTTGCCGAGTGGCGGGAGCATTGTGAGGAGATAGGAAGAAAGGAAGATAGGAGCAAGCGAAATGATTTTGACCACAGCAGTCGACACAACCCTTTGGTCGGTCACTCAAGTAGCTCACGAAGCCGAGGCAGCTTCGGAGACTCCGCGTAGTTCGATAGGCGGCGGGGAGGGGGGGGGGGGTACTCATAGTCGTGCATGCCGTAGTCGTTAGACCATTGACCTCGCATCCCTACAAAGCCGGGACGGAGCACGCCGGGTCCTCACCGGACCAGGCTCTCACATCACCAAGCGCGAAGCGCCGTGAGATATTCGGCGAGTCGCATGGAGGGTGCGCTGCATCTTGCTAAGGGTGTTCGGCATCTTGCGCTTACTTTCTTGCGTACGGATCACACCTGCGTGTGACTTAATTTATTTTCTGGTGCTTTCACTTCCAGAGACAGTTG